CTTTTCTGTTTGTTTCTCTTTTTTCCTTCTTCTAAAACTGGAGGAGGGAGGGAGGAAAACCTAGTCTTGAGATTTTCCTGCCTTATGGAGCTCTTAGATATAGAAATAGCTCCATGATATTCTTAACCTCTTTTTGCAGAATGTGCTGGAGCTGAAGGTCTGTGATGAAGACACAATCACCAGGGATGACGAACTCTGCACAGTTCTCTTTGACATAGATAAACTCACTGTAGGACGTACTGTTCGAGTGAAGTTCCAGCTGAATCCACAGGTGAGCAATGGAATTGGTGAGAACAAAAGGAAATTCTTTCCTTCCATCTAAATATAATCCTTTTACAGTGTTTCATTATAGGAATAACCTCCTTACACTGTATTTTGCTGCTATTATAAGAAAGACTTAAAAGCCCTGCATGAGTATTCCATGATAGTTTTTGTTAAGAACAAATCTCTATGCTAAAAATCCAGGATGGAACCAGCTAGAACTAATTACCTGGTGCCTTAATTCTGAATATTTCTGACGTGTTTGTTGGTTCTTGGTATGAGTTCTGAATTTTCAGCCACTTCAATATTATTAAAGCAGTTGATTCTTTTTGTGTTGGGAATTAAAATCTGAAAAATGACTGTTTTAGCAGAATAGTAGTTCCTATGTCTGCATTCTCATACGGCATTTAGATTTCAAAAAACTAGTTTTAGTAACTGTTTTTTCAGTATCTTAAAATTCAATATCTTCAGTTGGCACTGTGGGGTTTTTTTGCAAATTATTCTTACGTTCTGGGGATTTTCTTAAGTTCTATTCTGAATATGTATTTTACAAATTATATGTAACTGGGGAGTTATGTATGAAGAAAAATAAGTAACATTCCTTTCTTTTTTCTCTCTCTTCAGACACGTGAGGAACTGGAGGTGGAGTTCACATTGCAGAACACGTGAGTAGACTCCTAATTCTATATAAATTGTTGTATTCAGTATAAAAATAGTCTGGAAAGCTGGTTCATATGGGACACTTCTTAAACATACAGTTTCTGAAAGCAGTATCTAGATGTTTTCATTCAAGTCCAGTAAACTGGAGTTTCAGAATACATATTTTTAGATTTTAAATATCTGAAAATGTCATTTTTACCCTGTTTGATCGCTGCCTCCTGGACACCAGCTTCCTTCTGTCCTCTTTGTCATTGGATCAATACACAAGGAACTATGAGGACAACTACAACATTAAGGAAGTTTTGACCCTTAGAAGAAGGAATGCCAAGCCTAAATGCCTTATGTCACCCTTTCTTGGGGAATATGGCTTTTCAAATCCAGAGCATTATAAAATGCTCTCCTGTAAGTTGCTCTATTTAGCTCATCTGGCTACACATGGGGAGCTGTGGTAGACTTGAGTATCAGTTCCAGCAGGGAGAGGAACTAAACATTCTGCATAAAGAAAGGAGCAAAGTTCACCGTGGGAGGCTGAGGACTGAGGAAGAACCAGGAAAACTGGAGGAGCAGCACTAGCTTCACTTGGTAGGCTTGGAAGCTGTTGGTGGAGTTTGACTGTTTAGGGGATGTGTTTGCTTCAGGTAATTCATGCTGTGGAGAAATCTGGGAGCCTGGCGCTCTAACTGGAGAGGGCGTATGATGCAGGGTCACGGGTATTCTAGTCTGTCTCCATAATATGCTTTATGATTGAGGAAGTTACTTGAGAGGATTTCTGTTACCAATTTGATCCATGTTATTGGACTGAAAGTGTTGTTCAAACAACCACAGAGAAGGGATGGTACTGCTGGGAGCTTCTCAAGGCATTCAGGGCACTTCAGGAGGCCTAGCAGGACAGTAAGTTGGTGGAGAGTTTGAATAATGTGTTTATTCCTGACAGAAGGGGAAATTGGGACTTGCTGGAGAAAGGGCAGTAGCTCAGTGTGATGAACGGAGAAGGAAAGATCTCCCAGTGTTCACATGCAAAAAACCCACCAGAGATAAAGCAGTCGCAGAATCTCCTGTTACAACTCATGGAAACTCACCAGGGTGGATTGTTTGTTGTTTACTGTGCACCAAAACTGGCAGAAGGCCCAGAAACAGCAAGACAAATGGTGCTTATCACAGCTTAGGAATGTCACAAAATCAGTAACAGCAACAGGGAAGGGAGCTCCAGTAGATATCCCAAATGGCCTGCCTACAGTCTTCCTTCCTCTGCAAGTTAGAGGATGGCTTGTGGAGTTGGTGCGTAGAATCATACTCTAGATAATCCTGTCTTTTGATGAGGGACATCCAGGCAGGTTGTCTGGCTTGGATGTTGTGCATGAGTGGGTTTGCATATGGGGTTGGAGGCTGGAATTTTTCTTGGAGCATGTGCGTACCAGCTCTGTGTTCAACTCTTCTCTTGGACCTTGCAACCAGTTGCCTTTTCCTGGAGACACATTCAATAGACAAAGTCAGAAATTTAGCAGTTTCTGCAGGTGCTGAGTAGGAATTCTACTGCTTGGAAAAAGATGGTTGGGACTGTACAAACAAAAAGGAACCTGGGCAGTTCCAAGGAAGAGGTTTTAAAAAGAATCACAGTCATGGCTCAGTTGCTACAGCAAGAACACTTCTGATCCACTTTTTTCATTTATAGTGTGGTACCCAGGTGATGAATGTAAGAGTTGTGGCCTGAAGAACTCCACACGCAAAGGGAAGAAATTGCTGTGTCATAAGTTGGCCAGGGAGGGCATGTTCCTGTGAGGTCCCAGCAGGGCTGAGAAAAGGGAAGATACTTCTCTAGGAAAGTGGACTTCTTGTCGGAAGGCAGATAAACATTTCTCCTATTATCCCTCCTTTGCATTTCTTGCATATGTGTGGCAGTCAATACTGTTCTGCCCATCAGTCGAGCCTGGAATAAAGGTGTAAGCACATCTGAATTGATTAAATATTGTGATCTTGGTAGGGTATTGAAAGTGGTTTTTTTCCCCTCCACATAGAAAAGTGTGATATCAGGAGTAATTAATGAAAGGGTTTGTGCACTAAAATTGGAGACAATGGATCACATACCCTGTAATAAATGAATGAGCCCTGAAAAGGTCTGAAAGACTGAACTGAAGCAGCTGAGATGGGTCACCAGAAAGCTATGGACCAAACCAATCCCTCCTGTGTTGAACAAGCTCAGCAGGTTTTGGCAAGGGTTTTTGGCATTGCTGGGTGGGAGAAGCGTTGACAGAGATTAGAGATAATTTTCAGAGGGGGAGAGCCAACCATAGTGCTAACAAGAAGTAACAAGTAACAAGTTAGCTAACAAGCTAACCATGCAGGACAGTTTCTCAAATCTGGTATTGTGATGGGAACAATGAGAACATACCTTTTTTTTTTTTTTTTTTTTGGTAAATATGGCAGTTTATCTCTGAAATGAATAATTATTCCTACCAGCACATTTTGTCTGACACGATTTATCTGAAGTAGTTTTTCATTCCTTCCCCATCTTTATTCCGGACTTTACCCATTGCAAGATTTACTATATTAGCCTGTTCTTTCTTTCCAGCATTTCAGACAAATAATATCACACATGAAGTGTAACCCCAGGCCAAGAAACTTTCCTGGGTTGCACCTCCGATAGTGGCTTTGTCACTCTTATTTTTGTTTGCCTATCGACCTCACTGCAAAAATTGTGTTTTGTGTTACTTTTACCAAAAAACATTGTAAAAAATTCCCTCATGATACACTGGTGGGCTGTATGAAATTGGTTCCCACATTCATTCCTGTTATCTTTAATTTAAAATGGAAGAAAACCTTCATTTTGGTAGCTTGGTTTCCACAACTACAAGACGAATACCCTCTCTAGTTTTGCCTCGCTCTTATGCCACTCCTGCAGTACCCGCAAATGCTTACCTCTCTGCTGCCACTACCCGTGGCAGGCACTGAGACACAAACGTTTGATCCTTACGACATAGAGGAAGGCATGCTCCTTCCTCCAAGTGCCTTTTCACCAGCAAACAAGCCAAGGGATTGCAAACGCCTGCCCAATGTTTTATGGGCCCATAACACGAGCCCAGCTGGCGTGAGAGCTGCTGCCCTCAAGCAGCAGTGACAGAAAAGGTAAGGTCATTGTACACAGGTTGCTGATTTGCATACTTTAATGCTTTTGTGTTATTTTCTGGTGATTATCAATGGTAACATGGACTTTCTCCCTTGTATTTCCACTGGTAGGGTCCAGCAACAGCATGAGCCACTACGAGTTGCTACAGGGACGGGGTCCCGCTGGACTAGGTGGCTTCGCTCACTCAATATCCCCCTCCCCTCTGACTTCTACTGAAGCCCACACCTGATATTGAGCGGCCACAAAGAGACTTCCGATGAACTAAAAGGTATTTTGAGTTTTCAAGAAGAGGTCTGAGTACATACCCAGGGTATTTGCTGGGTCTGCTGATCATCTTTTTGGCCTTTTTCTGTCCTTCAGATGTCCCAAGTTGAGGAGGTGCATCTCAAACAACTCTTAGAAGAATGAAGGACCACTCTTACACAACCTTTCATCTCAGCTCCCCGTCCCTTTTCTTTTTTTTCAAATGTGAAAGACAATGTTTAAAACAAAGCCCACTTAACACAAATAAATGTAAATAGGTGTACAAAAAGTTGTATAAAAGTTAAATATTAATTATTGAAATATGGCAAAAGCATGATTTTTAGAAAATAAAAGTCTTTTTTTCTTTCTGTAGTTCTGCTGTGTTATTTTGAGAAATTTTCCCCATGTGTTGGGGGGACCAGCAGATCATGCTAGCCATTTGTTTTTGGCACTGCTGCGGAAACTCTCGGAGTAGACTGAGTCTCCATCCGTCGGGGGCCAAATGTGCTGTTCATATTTGTGTTTGTAGCAGGAAGTCACAGGGCCTCAAGGAACACTGAAGGCAAAAGTTTTAAGTCGAGAAAGATGACAACCAAAGAATCTTTGGGGTGAATAGAGTTTTCTTTATTGAAATAGTACCATCCCCCATGCTTCTCTTGGGTCGTCAGAAAGCTTGGAAAAGTAGCCTGCACTATGTGGAAGCTACTAAAAGAAGGTGAAGCTGGATCTGACATGAAAGAATTAAAATTTTGTACATAGGTATCAAACAATCCAGATTCTCTGGTGAAATGGATCACAGTAGTCTACTCTAAATGCAAACTGTAATATGAGAATCTGTGTGACTGTAACTTCCCACACAGTATTGCCTGTTTCATTATAAGTCACGCACGATCTAAAAAGGAGAAGGTGGCAGTTTGATTCATACCAGGTGTTGGGAAGTGATCCCTGGGTTCACAGAGTCCACTGCAGTCTTAGGCACCCCTTCAATAGCATTTTAGTGGAGAAGTATGTCCAGGGTCTCTGTTCCTGGCTTGCCCTGCCACAGGCCATAATATGCTCCCAATTCTCATAGTAAAGCTGAGGTCTGCATTAAAAAAGGCCATAAATCACAAACTGTGATGGAGGAGAGGACAGGACTGTTAGTATGTGTAACACGGGCTGTCTAATAGCAGGTTGGTCGTTAGGGAAATTACCAGCTAGTCCTGAAAGTGGATGTTATTCAGTGCTCCAAAGATAGGGAAAATACTCAAAGGTTCCTGCCAACCTGAATAGTAAGAGCTCTTCTGCACTCAGTTCAGCTGTGTTTCTAGCCACAGCTGATTTCCAAAGCTTCAGAGAAAGGTGAGTGCCTTTGCTGCTCTTAAAACAAGTGTATGGATCACCAGCTTAAAAAAAAAAAAAAAAAAAAAAAAAATTAAAAACATCTGTCTTCTGTTGTGGCCAGCAGGAGCCTTGAAATTCAGGATATAAAAGTTGTAAGTGCTGTGTGGAGAGTAACCAACAAGTGACAGCAGCTGGGCTTCCTTACAGCAGCGGCTGCAGAGGTAACACACCAAGAGGGACATCTCAGCCGTTGGTGCTTAATTCCTGTGTTGCTCTGGTTCTTCCTGGGAGCCTTTCAAGCTGTTCTGTCCAACAGTGCAGGTTCTTGCACCCCGTTTGAAGGTCATGCTTTGGACCTCCTAACTATCAGCCTAACTTTATACTTTGCTGATACCAATGCCTCAAATAATATTACACTCTACTGGATATTTACATCCATGAAGAGCCATCTTTTCCTGTCTTTCCACCTTCATTTCAGCAGGTTATGCAGGCTGAGATCTTTTAATATCCACCATGCTGTTTCTCTGCATTCCTTAATTTTTTTAATGATGTATTTGAGCATAGTGACACCATATGTCATGTAATGTTACAACTATTTGACTACAAAACAGTAATTAAGTGCAAAAGTTTGTGTCTGAAACAAAAATTGAGTGGTGTTTAAACCCATTTCCCTGCATGCAGGTAGTATTTTTTGCCCATTCCTGATGAATGTTCTTTGAACTCTTTTCAAAAAAAGATCCTACAAAACTCTTAAAAATTCTTTTTTCCAGTGTATAACTGGGTTTTTT